ACTTAACCAACCGGATTCTGCCACGACCTCTCTCCACCAATCATCCTGCTGCCGTCAAATTTTAAAATCCGTTCTCTCTCTTTAGCTGTCAGTCTGTCATGTCAGTGCGACTGCTGCGAACCTCCTTCACCCCAGTCACCTGCATTCCATCCGAACAGTGTCCAAGTCCAACTCCTCCGAAGCCCACTCGTCTCATCACACCCTGTGTGTGAACAACATACATTCCTAACTCTTGTAATTTGCTGTAATTGGTTACAGCTTTATATACTCACCTTGTCTACTCAATTTTTTAAAAAAGTGATGATTTGATGATTTTAAAAAGTGATGAAAAGTGATGATTTGCATAATAATTTCATCTACAGAAATGTATGCCCCCAGAAATACTGAAATCATGTGTGTCAAGAAGCACCAGAGAGACTGAGTGGGAGACAGGTGGATTAACAAACTGGTGAACAGTCTGTTTGTTTGAAAGGTGTGTGCCTGGAGGCAGTTCCCTCTGTAGAAAGATGTGCACTAAACTGAACCTTGTTGTAGACATCACGTCTCGATGAAGTGTCTCAATCTCTGGCACTCACGTTATGTTGGCAGCCATCGTGCTGTAAATTACACACAGTCCAAACTGACTCTGCTTGCTTGTGTCTGTTCTGATAAGAGTGGTAATGTTTATTGTTCTGTGGATATGGCACCTTTATTTGTGGATATGTTGAAATATATAATGAAAACGTGTGTGCATCAGTTGTGCAAATAGATGGTTTTGTTGAACTGTGTGTACCCAGACCTGCTTCAATATTCATATCTGTTTCTGTATTGGACAAACAGGCTCTATACTTTAACTCTTAATCATATATAACAAGTACACTCATATTTTAGTAGACACGTATTTCATAATGCTTTGCATATTTTGGGGGTTGGTTCAGTTGGTTCTCTTAATATTTGTGTGATGAATATCTAGTTTTGTTTTTCTGTTTTTTGTGCAGTGACAGACCTTCCAGGTATTATCATGGTTTAATCTCTTCTCATATGATCACACTCTCTTCTCACATTTCATCTCTGAGCTTCTTTAGCTCTCCCTCTCTGGCCCTAATGGCAGGATTCAGAAACAGGCAGGCATTGAGTCCAGAGCGAGCAAATCTTTATAAATCCTTCCACAGTGGCTGCCCCTCTTCAGACTCCACTGTACAATATCTGTCTTCATCTAGGAGAGCACAGACCCAGCCACCTGCTTTTCCTCTGTTCACCCACCCCCCTCCAAGCTTTGTGAACTTAATAAAAGCTGCCATTAAGCAGCGCTTCATCTGTTTGGGCCCTAATCTGCCTTATAGGCATCATGTGACCACATATGCAGGGCACACCTGTCGTGTGTGTTCCCGGCTCCGACTGCTGTCTCTCCACACTCTCACTCAACCTGTTCCTGGCACATCAACTGCCTGCATGTCAGGGATGGCTGCATGCATACCCACCACACTCATATACCCAGTACACAAGTCGCACATATAGGCCTATTTATATTTGCGACTTAGAGCTGTTTTGTGAAAAGATAAAAAAGTATGTGAAAAATATGTGTCATACTTTTCTTTGACATTCAAAAGACACCAACAGTGAAAACACGCCTAAAGTCGTTCAGTAGGTTTTTATTTCACTGAGTGAAAAGCTCAATCTTTGCATCAGACATGCAGAAACAGAAAAACAACATAAAGCACAATGAAGATGAACAGCACTGTATCCAAGTGGAAATAAGTAATTGCACAAGACTGAGAAGCAGTGCTGAGGGAAACAAATTCAAGAGTAGAGAGTTTTTAAAAAATTCTTCTTTGTCTACTTTTCATAAAAAATGTCTCATGAATCTCGCCAAATTGAACGCTAACGGGAGATGGCTTTTAGTCCAAAAGTGCAATTTATCTTACAAAGTCTAAAATGTTACTCTGTTTATTCACTTTGCTGCAGTGAGCAGGGAGGCTTTCATATTACATTTCTTCAGCAGTGGAAATACATCTCAGTTTAGCTCCCCACAACTTTTTAAAACCATCCTTTTTACTCTGTTAATTAAAACAGTAAAATGATCTGTCATTTCAACAGCAGCCTATGCGGGATTTGGAGGTCGTTTCCGTCTGGTTTTTGTGTAATATAATTTTCATGTTTATTCTTTTTTTTTCTGGTAGATTATATACAGGATGCCAGCTGGCTGACAGATGGTGATGCCTTTACCCGTGTTTTTTTTTCTTCTTCTTTTTTTTTATTACAAAAAAAAAATCACAAGGAAGAGAAGGAGGAAGGACAGGAACAGCTGTAGTTGAAGGGACAAACAGAACCAGCACACCGGCCACTGGGTGACATGAGGGTGTGGGAGGAGAACCCAGCAAATGGCTCAAGGCAAAAACAAAAAGTGAACTAAAAATGTGACCTGCCAGCACTGAACAAGCCACTGAGAGCCAGAAGCAGTCCTCTATCTCACGAATGGTCCTAAGCTCCGATAGGGTCCTCGCACCAGAATATCAAGCTTGAACAACGATGACCCCTACAACAAATATTGTTGATTCTCCTACCTGCACTAATGCAGATTTTTAGTTTTGTTTGTTTTTTGACAGTAAATTTTCTAAGTTGAATTTACAGTGGAACAAATTAGGGAAAAGATGAACAAGGTCATGAAATATGAATCGGAGCTGTGAGCAGCTGGGACGGAGCCACAGGTCTGTGTTCTTACAGCCATGGTCTATCCGTCTCTCTCAGGCAGACACACACACACTCACTCACACACACATACACACACACACACACACACACACACACACACACACAATTCAGTAGTGTCAGTGACAGATACAAAAAGAGACAGAGATCACTGCTGTGTGCTGTCGTCCAGCAGCACCTTTCCTCTTCACATATGTCCAAAGGCTGAAGCACTATCAAGCACTGCATTTGTTGTTATAATAATTATAGGTTCTTTATTTTCAACTTTTTACAAATCCTGCTATGTATACACCCTCACACACACACTCACACACATTAACCGTATTCAAGTGCACAACGTCTCCCAGCCCAGTTATCTGAACAGATGATGAGAACACAGAAGGAGTGTCATAACGCCTCTGCTATGCAGCAGAGTCCCAGGAGACAGATCAGTCTGTGAACAAGGCATGCCCACAGCAAAGTAAATATAAACCCAATATTTTAATTGATGAGAACAAGTCAAACGAAAGCACACATATGGAAAAATAACATTGAACCAAACAAGTTGTTAAATAAATCAGAAAAATCAATGAATGAATTAAAATCAGTGTATTTTAGTTTGAGCTTCAGACAGTTTGTAAAAAGAAAACAAATCTGCAATCTGCCAATGCTACAGTATGAACAACTTTTGCAAAAACCTGTGATAATAAAAAAAAGGTCAAGCACACAAGCAAACTATAATGAGACTATTTGAATTCTTAACTTTTTATTATTCATTTCTCCTTTAACGGTTTTTCTTTTTAAAGGAAGCTGTTCATCAAAGAGCATTTTGTTCATATATAGTTATTTTTTACAGAGGAAAATACTGTACAACCTTTTTTTTTCTTCCCAGAACAATATCTGGAGGAATATCATCTACACACATTATTATTCCCTATATCATGATCATTTATTTCCAATGTCAAGCTCAGGAGAGAACTCATGATCAGTGTGTCAACTTGTTGGTCGTACATATTCGCTCAGTCGTAATCAGTGGGGGTCTTTGACAGATTTAATTGACTTCTACAGTAAGAGATCATTGCCATGAGCTTCTTTAAATTTTATCAAAAATCACAGTTCATATTAGTGTTTCTTAACAGAGCACCACTTTTTATGGCGCACTCATTTCCTTTTTTCTTCAAACTGTCAAATCACAGAAGCAAAATAATCTTTAAATAAATCACAGAACGACAGTTCTTTGTCACACTAACATCTATTTTTGTGCATTAAAGCAAAAGTGAACTAAAACAATATCTTTAAAGCAAATTCCCTGTTAAAAGATATATATCATATTTTTTCAGACGGTAAAAATGAACCTAAAAAGTGCAAGAACACCCTAAAAGTTTCTCATTGGAAGGTCACATAAATATTAAATAAAAACCGTTACAACAGGATGTCAACCACATGAATGGAAAACTGGTCTGTAAATTTTTAAACTTAAATCCCACCTCCTCCTCGCTGTGTCTGAGTGACTCATTGTTTCCTCTGGTCAGTCCCCCCCCCCCCATTCACAACTGCCGTCGCAGATCGTTAATCACGACCTCGCCAGTTTACAGATCGATATGCTTCAGACTAACAACACAACAAAACAAAATTGTAAAGAAAAGATACAAATGGTAACAAAAATATTTTTTAAATATGCTTATGAGTTATCTAGCATCATGGTCAGCTAATATAAAAGTGCACTATCCACACACAAACTTGATACCTCCGCAAGGGCCGGGGTTTAATTACAGGGGCTGAGCTTGGTTTTGGTGCTAGTGAGCGTTTCTAGCAGAATGTCAGAGAGAACTGTTGAGACTGCAGCTGAGACCGACCAAACATTTACTGGTCAATTCCACATGTCATCGAGAACGAAGAAAACAGCTGAGAGCGACGGGAATGGGCAAAAAGAAACCTCCCTTTCCCTCAGTGTTTAATAATAATAATAATAATAATAATAATATTAATACAGAAAAAAAGATCAAATGTTTCATCACATCCTTTTTTCCCCTTTAGTGATTCCCATCCCTTTTTTCTTCGTAGTTCGGGCAGTTCATGTTGCCCGTGCCAACAATTTCCTTTTGTATATCATCTTTCACACACACACACACACGCACACACACACATACACTTACATATATAGTTATATAGAGAGATTTGTTTTTGTTTTTCTAATTTTTTTATCCACACAAAAAAGTGAAAAAAAATAAAATAAATTAAGTCAAACATGCACACGCACAAAAAGACTGATGTGTAGTAAAATGCTTTACATTGCTGCTCTGTGTGTTACACAGAGCCTAATTCTGTGTGTCTCTGTTCATATTTTTTTTTTTTAATGCATAATTGAATTAACAATGTTGGTCATCTTGTAAACATCATCATAAATCATTTTAGGCCATCATTTTCTCCACACTGTTGTTTTTTTGTTGTCATATGTAGTCTCTAAACATGATAAATGAGGCCACTTTCATTGTTTGTTCATAGAACATAGGCTTCCTCTTCAGTTCCTACAGTCTCACTTAGTTTTTTTTCTCATGGGTCAGCGTCATGCTTTTCCAGTTGGGAAGAATCAGTGTGGTTAACGGAAGCATCAAAACTCTCGCCATTGTTCTTTTCACCATCGGGCTCTGCCATTGAATCATCATTTGAGTCAGAGTTTTGCTCCTCCTCTGCCTCCTCCTCCTCCTCTTCTTCTTCATCCTCCTCCTCTGCGTGCGCCTCCTCCTCTGGCGACAGGTCATCTTCAGCCTCTCCGGACGTTCCCGTGGTGTCGTCCTGAGCTGTTGACAGACCCAGCAGGTTCCCAGGGTTGTGGCCATCGCGCTCTGTCTCCAGGTGTATCTTCTTGCTGAGGTCTAGAGAGTCGCTGAGACCCAGACCGGCTGCGTTCTTCAGGAAGAACAGGGAGCTGCTGGTATCTGTGCCCAGGTTTAGGGAGCTGTCCAGGCTGATGGAGGAGGGCGGGTACGGGTGGTTGTACTCAGAACCCATTCCACCTGTTGGGTAGAGCATTGAGCGAGTGTTGCTGTTGATGGTGTGTGACAACCCATGAATGCCTCCAGGTGAGGATGTAGAGAGACCCACAGGGACTTGAGGGATTGCTGACACACCTCCACCCAGGTGGTGCAACACTTCCTGTTTTGGTGACACAGACGGCAGTTCACCGCGCTCCTGCTTTTCATGCTTCCTCTTGTGGGAGTCCATCTGGGACATGCCGACCACTGTGTGCTTACACTCTGGGAAGGTGCAGTGAAAGTGGGAGCACTTGAGCTTGTATTTGCAGTCAGGAACCGTGCAATCCACACTGGAGCTGAACTGGCAGAAGCCCGCGGCGCTGATCACATCTTGCTTGCCGTGGTGCTTGCGGTGGGCCGTCACTTTGGTGCTGTCGGTACAGCGGAAGCCGCAGCGCAGGCAGTGGAAGTGGGTGCTGTTGCCTGAAAACTGGCAGTCGGAGAAGTTGCAGCTGAGGGACGATTTAAAGCGTTTGAAGTCATCCAGAACTAGGTTGTCCACACGGTCGTGGTGCTGCGCGTGCTTGTACATGTGGGTGCGGCCGCAGAACTTGTAGCCGCAGTTTTCACGGGTGCAGTGGTAATGGGTCACCTTCAGAGAAAACTGGCAGCCTGGGTCCTTGCAGTTCTCGTAGAGGTCATAGCGCCTGAAGCCCTCCAGCATCATACCCTCATCGAGCATCTTACGGGAAGATGCGGTCTTGCGGCGTTTGCCGAATGGCGACATGTCTTCGATGATCCAGAAGCGCTTCTTTGAACCGGTGGCAGTGGGAATGGAGATGGTGTTGCCTGAAAGAGAAGGAAGGAAGAACATTCCAAATAATCAGTTGATTGACAAAGGAAAGCCCTACAAGTAAATAACAAAGCAAAACCACCATTACACTCTAATGTGCAACCTTACTCAGCCAGAAGTTGTTCACAGCTGAGTAAGCACAGCGAGCCACAATTTTTTTATTCCTAATTCCAAGAATGATTAAAGGAGAGGGGAAATGATAGATTGACTTTGGAACATGACACTTTTACAGGGTGTCTCTTGCCTCCAAACAGAGGCTGAGCTGTGGGTCTTAACCTACCCTCTTATCTCCATGTTGTTTTATGAGGGGCACCCACCTTTCGCACCACCCTGGGGTAACTGCTAATGATGTGATCCCTGTTCAGCTAGAAAAGAAGTAGTGGGCCTGAGGCTTGATTAAATATGGGGTTGCCGATGTAGTCTTGTTATGGAAGCTAACCACAGCTCAGGCTTTGTAATACAGGTGTCAGATTTAAGATGAGTATAAACACTTGTTTGTTACTGTTTCCACTCAATAAGAATTTCATTATTTAGACATGAATATTGTCCTTTTGCATGCTGAAAAGCCTCTTTTATTTTCTCGTTTTCCCACAATAATAGAGATCACACAGTTCAATGCTGCATAGGACTTAATTGAGATCAACAGCTGCAGTGTTGGTTTGCGCCGGGGATAAGTACCTGCAGCATCCTGTACTATAGGGACGTCATTTTTAACTGGAGACGGAGTGGCAATGATGGGGCTGAAAGCTGGTGTGTTGGTTGGCATGACAACACTCCGAGTGGCTCCCAGAGAGGCGCTGAGCAGAGAGTATGACAGACAGGATGGAGAGAGGAGGTATGGGAGTGAGGAGAGAGGAGGTCGGAGAAGAGCAGGAGAGAGGGATGTGGCCTGGGACTGGAGGCCAGGCTGAGGAGCAGAGTGAGGAGGAGGAGGCGGTAGAGGAGGAGGGGAAGAAGGAAGTGCATTTTGGGAAGCGCTAGTGTCAGCAGGGGTGGTAGGAGCAGAAGAGGTGGCAGGGTAGCCTAGTCCTGGAGAGACAGGTTGACCAGAGAGGGTGAAGGACAGACAAGGGAGGAAGATACACACAGCCAGGTACACCCACAAAAACAAGGACCAAATCACACACACACACACACACACACACACACACACACACACACACGAAGGGATGGGAGGTAAACAAGGGAAAGATAAAAGATAAGAGAATGATACAAAATGAGGCCCATTCAAGACAAGTAACCCAAACACCGGCTAAACAACAATGATGAGAGTAGTGGATAATATTGGCAACAGGTGGAGAAATGTGATAATCAAAGGCACGCTTAGATTTAGAAAAAAAATTAAGCATAAAGGAACCCTTTTATTCAGTAAGTTTGAGGGAAAAGAGGCTTATTCTCCTTCCCCTTTCTCTGTCCCACAATTCAACCCACTAAAAGCACTAAAGTAGACATAGAGCCACAGGGATGATCTCTGGCCAAAGGCAAATGTAATAAGCTCCACACTGTGCAATAACTCAAACTACTGATGTGCAAAATGGATGTTTTATGACGTTGACCAGGCAAACTGCAACAGATCTTATCAATGAGTCAGATCAGAAGAATACAGCATTGTCATCCAGCTCATATAATATGACGGATGAGTCATTATGCTTTGGACTGTATGTCAAACCAGGTAATCATGAAGTTTCTGATTGAATAATGTGTGAAATGAAAAGTTGCCAGTTTTTTGTTTTTGCTAAGGCAGATGAGTTTGGGCAGAGTGAAGCTTGATGTTTGATACTTAATGTCAGGGTGAAAAACTTTTATTCTTTGAGTCACTAAACTATTTAAAAGACCTGCATGCTGACACCTAGACATCTTTCAGGTGATTTTGAGGGTTTTCTTGACATGTTCTCACCTGCTGGGGAACCATCAGGACCTACAGGGGTGCTGGTGCAGCTCCGGTCCTGGTTGGAGGATTCAGAAGAGAGGCCCAGGGGGCTGCCACCTCCTCCCATGTAGTCCATGTAATCGTCAGTTTCATCCATCATGGATGAGGAGAAGCCGGAGTTGATGCCAGACTGGTTTCCTAAATGTCCAGACATCATGCCGGATACATGCTGCATCTCATCTGCCCTCTGACCGTGTGACATCATCTGGGAAACAAATGATCGTCATTGTAAAGGGACATCAGAAACAAACATATCTGCAGAAAACATGTTATTAATGCAGGTGTTGGCTTTTGGCAGGCAATCAACTATTTGTCAAGACAACAAAAGGATTCTTAAAGAATGAACCCTGCAGTTCTTTCATTATATAAAGGCTTCAAAATAAAAAAAAAAAGAACAAAGAGAACTAGAAAATCCACATGTTTAAGTTTGGTACATGACGTACGACAGAGGTTAAATAAGGAAATGAGGTACACCCCAGTGTGAAAAAAACTTCTTTCCTTTTATCTGACTTTTTCAGATGGTAAATCTGATGGTAAATTAAAAAAAGAAAAGAGAAAGCTAACCTGTACAAATACAATGTAGCACGTAGAATGTAGCAGACCTGGATACTAACACATATAAGACAGACCTAAGTAGTTCTTTGCTAAAAAAAACAATCAAAAACAATAAACTGAAAACAATGGGGGAAACTAGTCCATAAAGAACCTCTTTGTATTGACACACTCACAGGTAATTCACAGGACATCTTCTGTCACCTTCTCATTGTTTGAGGTCAAAACAATATGACTGAAAAATAATGGTACCTAATTTTCTAAGTGAGTATTTCAAAGCCAGATCTGGCAAAAACATAATCCATGAGTCTTAACAAGATACTGCATCTGATTTATGAACAGCTTGTTATTCTTGTTAAATAGGGTGTGTGTGGTATTTGATGTTGTTAAACAAAAAGTTTTCTTTGTATTTAACAACACCTTTAGGAGTTCAGCCCCTAATTACCATTTTTAGAATGGCATGTGTCATATGTTTGTACCTGGGATGGAACTCTGTCAAAGTTCTTCCCCAGCATCCGCCTCATGTGTTTGCGAGCATGTGAGGTCATTTGGTGCTTTAGCAGGAAGGAGAACTGGCAACCTTCACGGATGCAGTGGAAGTGGCTGTTGACTTGGTTATATTTACAACCTGCAAAATAAAAAAAAACAGAAGCTTTTGTTAACTTTTCTCCTGCAGATTAATTTACCAGTGAATCAATGAGAGACATCTGAAAACAACTTCAGCACCAAACACAATCTCATCAGTGATCCGGTGTTGTGATTAGATCAAACTCAAACTGAAATATTTGTACTTTTCTGTAATTTCATGATGTAACTGTTACAACAGAGCGTTTTTCAAAGTGTTTCGGAGTGTACATGTAGGAGGAATATTAGATCACTCCAGTGTCACACTGAGCAAGTCAAGGCTTCTGTGCACTAAACCTGTGGAGCTCTTTTATTACACTGACATGCTTTATTCAATTAGGAATTTACATAAATAAATTCTCATTTTCTGTGGGCCAATAATGCACACACCCCTGCAAACCAAAGTAAATATACAATTATTACCATATTAAATTCATTTTTCAAAGTATCTCCATTGTCATTTTCCCTTTTGTTCTCCATTGTAGTGCTGCCTGCTGCATATTCTTCTCTTCTTTTCTTGTGTTTTAACCGGTCTAGCTCTAATTGCTTTATGATTTCAAATTAAATGAATGTTCCATTTTGTGCCTGTTAATCAAATACCATTATATAAAAGCAGGAAGAAATAATTGAAAGAGTAACATGCTGGGCAGGTGCTAGCATGTCAGTAACCATGGCAGCCAGTTTAAGAGCACAACACGTCTGTGTCATCAAATAGCTTTTGCACACAAAACATTTTAAACACGCAAAGTTGAGCAAATAACAGTAACCCCGTGACATGGAGGGCCTTTTGTGAGACAGAAACCAGGTAACATCATCAGCAGTGTTCAGTTTAATGTTGCTGCCATGGATACTGGCAACCCATCAATTCTTTATGACTGGAGTGCGAGCGATGGTAATCCTTTCTATTTTTTTTCCCCGAGTCCAAACAATACAGTTGGCAGATCAGGCTGGGGACAAAAAACAGCTGTTTAGGGCCTGTTTTTGTTTGCTTTGTTTCTGTGTTTTGAAAAGCTTGTGTAACCGCCCGAGAAAAAAAAAACAGATCACTTTTAATTCATTTCTGTGTGATGGCAGCGGTGGCTGTGAGGCGCAGCTTCACAACACAAACAGGCTAAACCAGACAAGCCGGATAATTAACAAACACGAACCTAATTGCTCATTTCTGACAGGGGCAAAAGGAAGAAGAAAACAACCTGGATGTGATTGCCCCCTTTGACATTATTGCTCATAAAGTAAAGGCAAGACCACCTTTGGGACCTGAGATGCCACTGTGAATAGCCAGAACACAGGAACAAAATCTATGAGACAGACTTGTTTCATGCCTCTTAAACAACCCAAAATCGAACAACATCCTGTTTGCAAAAACAGCCACAATCGATCCACATCTTTTTCAATTTAACACTCTGTGATTAGCACATCTATGATGGAAAAATATATACAAAAGCATTTATGCTGACATGAAGGGCTTGTAGGATGATGTACAGGATCAAGAGGCAAAACTAAAAAGTATTACAATGACTATTACAGAATCCTTTTTTTTCTTACCCAGTCTCCCACATTCCTCCCTCTTGGTGAAATATTTGAAGCCATTGGCAGCGCGACGCTCTGCTTTCTCATGCTTCTTGACATGCCACGGCAGCTTGGTGGTGATGTTAGTGACAAAGTAGCAGCCTGGCCGCAGACAGTGATAGTGGCCCCTCATTCTGAACTCACAGTGCTGCGGAAAGAAACACAGTTTTCATAATGTAAATGTGATGATTTTGAAGCTCATTATTTATTATTTCTTTGTGCACAATGTTTAAGTGAATACCACATAGATTCTTTAAAAAGAAAAAATACATTCCCACATTTCTAAGTATGAGCACTTTTTATTTCCAGGCTTTTCACAAACACCCAACCTTCCTAAACTGTCTATACACCACCATCTGTTTGTGAGGCCCAGATCCCAAAGGACTGGGCAAAATAAGATCTGCTCTGTTCAGGCAATGGAGAGACTAAGGGGCGAGGGGAGGAGGAGAATGAGGAGGAGGAGGAAGGGGGGGGGGCTTTTTGTGAGGGGGTGATTTTCGACACATTAATGAATTCATTTAAACGGTTTTCCAAATACGGGCTCATGAGAGCAGGCAAGGGCTGCCATTTAGGTTTCATTTGCGAAGCATTCCCCTGATTTTTGCCCTATTCCAGACAGCCTTGTTTACTGTGCGAGTGACAATGATTTATTGGGTAATATCAGCTAAATTGGCCTTTTCTGAGAGGAGAATGCGGCAGTCAAAATGACATCATTGACATATAAACAGACATTACTGGGGTGAGTCGACTGTCTTTTCCAGCAGAGATGGAAGACGGGGAGCAGCGCTTGTGAAAGCCTTGAGTCAAATAACCTCAAACACCGGTCTAATAGATAGCATACTTCATGCTTAGAAAACTCTGGGGGATGACAGTAGGTGATTCAGCTCCTGGCTCAGTTATCAAGCTGCACTCACCTGGTTGGGACACAGACACTGGAGAGAGTAGTAGGAAAACTGGTCGCGGACATTGACCAGATTGTTGTTGGGGTTGATGTGGTCCAAACAGTGGGACTCTGCCTTGCCAGATGTTTTGCACACATACTTGCAATTCCCAAACAAGCAGTGGAAGTGGAACTTGTTTGAGTACTTACAGTCAGTAGCCAAACAGGGATCACTGGATAAATAAAAACAGAAAATACAGTTAATTTGACAACCGGCCAAATATACATACTGTAACATGATGTCAAATAACACTTAATGTTTCTCTTACTTTTCCTGGAATTGCAGGAAACCAGGTTTGACTTGTGGCTTCGCATTCTCCAGAGAAGTGGTAGCAAGAGGGGAGTTAGCTGGCAGGTTAGGCATCGAGGCTGGCATCTGTGGGATGCTGCCGGTCAGCTGCTTCCAGGCCAGCAGGGAGGGAGGAGGAGAGCTGTAGCCACCAGAGGAGGTGAGGTGCGCAACATCCATGGAGGGATTGTTGGCAATAGAGACAGGAGCAGCAGGCTGCAGCGAGGCTCCATCACTGGAGTCCTTTCCCTCACCAAACTGAGGCTCAGACTTCACTTTCAAGGTGGCTCGGAGGTGGAAGCTGAAAACATAATAGAGGTTCATTTATAAGTTGATCAATATGGCCAAGTTTTGAAATGTCTAATGTTTTTTTTTCTTCTTCGTATTACTAATAGCAACAGTGTGAAACTCACTTGGCATGTTTTATTGCCCCATCCACAGTACTGAAGAGTGCACCACAGTCCTCAACCAGGCAGTGAAAGTGTACTTTCTGAAGGAAGTCACACTGAGCCTCACAGAAGTCATCAGTGTCAAACCTGTCATAAAGACATAATGTAGAATGTAAATACACTGCTTTCTCAAAAAAGCAAAAATGACGGGGAAAACGGGTTGATCTCCTGATCTGACAGTGAATGTTATAGGTCTGCTGTACTGTAATTTAAATTTTCCCACAAGACCTGATTCTTTTTCTCAAGGGTTTTTTTGTATTTACAGTAAGACACAGTTCTTTCAAACACTGACTGTTTACTCACTACCAAAACAAATGAGTCACCTATATCTAAATGAGACTGCAGTAATTCGCTGAATTTCCGTCATACCTGCGGAGGTATTTTCTCCAGATCTCAGTGTGTTTTTCCGCCATGGGCCTCTTCAGTACACTGTGCAGATACTGTGCAGCTTCTGGGTTGCTGCTGCCCTGGCTCACCTCCAGCTCTGCCTTCAGGTTCATGGCGTTGAACAGGGCAGGGTTCACCTGTGACATCTACGAAACGCACAGAGAGAAACAAGCAGCTGGGTGATCTGAGCATATGTAAGATGGGCACTTACATATGTTAACGAGAGTGAGAGTTAAAAGAAAAAGGAACACAAACATTTGGCGAAGCAAAAAAAGCAATACCAGATTTACAAACATCCAGGATTTTGTCTGAGTGCAGGCCAAGCGTGTTTGCCAAGCCTCCTCTGGGACTAACAGTTAACCCTTTTATGTGAAATGGTGGCTTGAATAAAAGCCCCAAAAGCAGGTCTACGTGCTCCTTCACAATCTAGGTTTTATGACTGCTCAAAGGAGAGTAACTCCTGAATAATGCTCTCCGAGGGAGAGTTTAAAAAAGATGACGTGAGGAGGGATGAGGGAGAGGAGGTCTTGATCAGTTGTCTAGGGTAAAAAAAATGAAGGCTGAAATGTCATTACATCATCAATGTGATGGAAACCACCTAGCATATTTGTATCTATCAGAAATGATTTATGATATGGACATGTCCACTTTAATCTTCACAAAAAATAAATACACGTTTAAATTTTCATTCGCTTCCATTTACACTTGGTAAAAAATGAGGGCAGCGCCTTCCTGCCCCCCCCCCCCCCGACTTTTTAATCAAATAATTTACAAACTCTATAAATAACTGTAGAGCGAGGTGGGGAAGAAAAAGTATAAAGGAGGAGAAAAAATGGTCGGTGAGTTCAAAGCAGCTCATCAAAAAACAAACATCTCTATATATCTGGCATGGCATCCGGCTACTGCTTCATTATATTAATTTGTGAGAGGTGCGGTGAAAATTACACGCTATGAAAAATGGCTGGAAAATTTAAATGATACAAACTCATCTTATTAGCTGTGAAACATTAAAAAACAAACAGGCCCCTCCGTGTCTCGCTAATTTGTCTTTGGATGAAAGGCGTATGATTGATGGATCTTACCTTATTCATAAGCGAGGATAAAAGAGATGTATTCCCTGGTACAGGGTGTCCGTTTGATTCATTACTGGAACAAGGAAAATGAACAATGTTTAGTCAAGATTTGCATGAGAACAGTAAATATTACTATTTATCACACAAGGTGTGCCTGTATAATGAAGAAGAAAAATGCTGTCTTCTTAAGAAATAAGATCTACTGTGAGTAGGAGGGAAGATTAGAGACGCAGATTTATACAAACATCTTTCTCACTCCTAAATGGAGAAATATGTTGTGGATTTTATGATTGTATGCACATTTATATGAATACCATATTTTTCATAAATAATTGCTGGTATTACCCTGTCTAACAATAATGTAGAAATCAATTAATCAGAGATTTTCTTTTTCAATTGAAGCGAATGTGTAAATTTAAAGCAGAAAATGGACATTTTCTATAAAGCATTAACCCTGTTGGTGCCATTCAGTAGTATACCTGTGGTCTTTTTTGCTCAGGTCCAGGCTATGTTCCTGCGTTGAGTCTTGGGAGGCCCCAGAGTTGATGTCCACAGGCTCCTGCTTCACTTGAACCAGATTGAACTGGCTGGATGAAGTCAGCTGCCCATTCCCTGAGGATCAAGAAAGAGAAGCAGAGGAGAGAGGAGACAACAAAGTTATTGTTGGTCAGCATTATTATGCTATGACGAGATCTAATCTGACCGATGCCCGGGCCCGAAAAGAATACTCCGAGTGATAATTATTGCGAAATTATGTCAGGCCGTCAAACCTTTTAAATGGTGATTGAGAGGCGGGAGATATGAGGAAAAAAGACTCCTTTTTCTGCAGCACTTGTCACAACTCATTTGCCAGGCTGCCTCTTAACTGGTCATTAAGTGAGATGCTAATGCTGAGGGAAAGTGGCAGTCTCAGATTGGCCATCCCCCTCCCTTCCCACCTTCCCAGGCTCCTCGTTGGCCTGACAACGGACGGCAGCCAATGCCACTGAGCGTACCCACAAGGAACAGGGGTGCTATGTCGGTCAGATTGGAGCTGACAGCCAATCAGATTGGTTCAAATAGCGTGACCTCTTTATCAAATTCTGCTCTGAATAGGTATTCAGTTATGCTGACAGGAGGGTTGAAGTGATATAAATAAAGACCAGGGGATGACTTTGGGTAAAGATGCTGACAGGAAGGTGAATTCTGCCCCATCCCCCTATCCCCAAGGGATGAAATATTAATTTGTCCTGGGGCTAAAAAGAGAAAGCTGGGCTTTTGTTATACATTAAGTGGTGTTTTATCAAAAAAAAAAAAAAAACTTGACTGGGAGGGGCGACCCTGGTGTAGCCTCTAAGACACTGTAAGGCTGCAGAGCACCAGCGGATGGGATCTGTTTAGTGAGGATCTGTTGTTTAGGAATGGTGGCTGGTGCTTAGGAATAGTGACAGGCAAGGTCATGGGCAACAGAGTGTGTGCCCTTGGCCCTCAGCCTGGTGAGGCCTCTCTCCTTTTTCTTGCTCCAGAGAAAATAAGACCAGCCTATGTAAGCAGGAAACTGAGCAGAGTTCCCCCATGCTACAAGATGACCCAAAGACATATCAAAGAGAATAGGAGTGGAAAAGCCAGTCCTGGGTCTTGTCAGCTGAAAGCTAGTAGATGGGGAAGTGTCAGTGTCAGTGTCAGTTTAGTTTGACAAAGGCTGAGGTTGGAAGGGCTGGAGGTGGGGTTTGGGTGGGGCTATAGGAAAACAGCAGTCAAACAATTTTGCGTCTTGTTTGAGCTTTGAGGTCACTGAATGCTTACAAAGTCTCCGTCCGGCACTACTCCTCCCCTCCCCCATTCTTTACATGAGTACACCCAAAATTAACTATCAAGACAGATCCATCCCTGTCATTGACAATTAAATCAACTCTCAGTCCAAATTAGAGCACTATATTGCAGCATTATACAGAGAGCAGCCACTCTCTTTATGATCTACATATGATCACCAGGCAGATTAAAGCATTCCTTCACAACCTCAGACAATAAGAGGAACATTTCATGTTGATTATAATGCAGAAGTCTCTTATTTTCTCGCACACCAGGAGGTTATTATTTTTTTTTTCTCTCTGTTCACCAAAGAGGGGGAACAAATGAGTTTGACTCAAAGCAGATTTTTTTCTTGAAATTATCCAGGAATAATGTATCACCATGTAATTACCCTGGATAAGATACAGAGCTAGTGAAAGATCATTTGTACTGTGTGTCTAATTAGTAAACCCTTCAGAGCCTATGAAAAAAACACTTAGGGGTATATTAGAGCAGAAAACTTGCTAAAAAAATGTTACTGAGAAAATACTGAAAGCAGAAACAGGAAAAATGTTAAATTCACCACAATGGAGGTGAAGTTTCACAACCCCCTGAAAAACTCAGCAGTGTGAAAAATAGCCACAAACACAGTGACTTTTCTCACACCTTTTTGATAGAGAAGCACAAACCACTTCCTCCTCATTTTAGCCCCAAATGTCCTGTTCATACATTTGATGAAACAAAGAAGAGAAACAAAACTACACTGAACTTTTAGGTTATGGTTTAGTTTTTGGATAGAGAAGCTGCTTTGTTATCAAGAAGATAAATCTGAAATGCAGCATCTCAGTGAGACAACGAGAGGGGTGGTGAAGGCACCATCTGTGGAGGCCCCACCCTCAGTGGGGGCCTTCCCAGTGTTCAGACAACCTGCTGGAAGCCCAGAGGTGGAGCTCAGCCTGACAGCATGCGCTCAGCTCGGCTCCCCGGAGCAGCTGCCCAAGCTCTCTCCCAGGGCCTGTCCTGCTCCAGGAACACCACCAGGAATTGTAATCCTTCCCAGTTCCAACATCCGGAGACGCTCCCCCTTGCAGCCCTGATTACAATCGGCACCCCACCTGCTTAGGCTCAGCACAGGAGGCCCCTCTGCTGCTGAATGCAAAACTGTGCTCTGCAGTGCATTATCAATTTAATGTTTTAACTTAATTTTCATATTTGAAAAGCTTTGTTTGGAGCCATATGATAAATACAGACAAGGCAATTACCTCCAAAATTTATGTGAATTGTGTTTATGCTAAATAGATATTGGAATGTTTTGTGCAAACAGAAGGTTTCTAGAAAGTCAAAAATTGTGTCTTTACTGATGCATGCAAGAGTGTCTGACTTCTTGTATCAGTAAAAAAAAAAAACTCTTTCTCAGCTCGGGTGCATTGAGTCATTTCTGCCTGAGCGATTTCTGATGTTTTATCAGTTTGCATGGAGGATACAGAAAAGCAAAGAAAAAAAAGCTTCTTTTTTTTTGTTCTTGCAATTTCTGCACTTAATTTCATTCCACCTCCATTTGCTTGGAACGGGCGCAGACATAGATAAGAGCCGAATGATGAGGAAACATGTTCAACACAAACCCCAGGAGCCCCCACTCTGAACATCATAAGAGACTTTTACAGGCTGTACTCTCCCCTGTCAGCGCATTTATCTCCAAATGGATTGTGGGTATCTAACAAACGATCAACACAATAACAAGCCCAGAGCAGAGGACCATGCCTCCGGTATGTCCCTTTAAGCCTGAAAGCAGCAGTTTTTTTGGCCTTTTTCCCCACTGTGGGATAGTGAGAGTAATGACCTCTGATTGCACTCTCACCTCTCAAGTTGTGGCTTTTGGAATGCATGCTTTATATCTGTTTGACAAATCTCATAAGGTTATTTTTTGTGAGAAAGTTTCTCAAGTTTCGATAAGTAGAAGAGCAAGCAAAGATCCCCTTTACCATTGACTACCAATTAAATTAAATGTTTAAATCTCACAGCTTTTATCCACAGGGCATGACATTATTAACATGGTAGTGTTGAATAGTCATTAGATGGGTATTTCCAGATAAAAAATGCTTATTTTGTCAGACCAAGAGCTCAAAATGAAAAAAGATACTGAATTAATTCAATTAAATTGCTAAAAAATAAGAACTTTTTCAAACATAAGAAGTCAAACCAATCACTTAACTTGGAATAATATATGATTTAACAAAAAAATGTTTTTAACATTTTCATGTGATAAATAACTTCCATTGTAATATTATCATATACAATGATAACTATATGTACAGTGACTGACCTATGTCTGGGTTATTGGAGGGCTTCAGGGCAGCAGCTGCCAGTCTGGCCATCATGGGCGAGATCAGACCTTTGCTTGCCGAGATCTTCTCCATGATGGAGGAGGTGGTGAAGGAGGTCGGGGTAGATGTCATGACTCCATCTGACATCGGTGTGGAACACCCCTGGGTCAGTGAATCAGTTGGCATGGAGTGGGTTCCAGAAGATACAGCTGAAATCAGACTAGCGGCTGGCAGATGTGGTTGGAGAGGCAGCCTGGGCATGAGGGAGAAGAACGGGTTGGAAGAGGCCAGGGCACTGTTGGAAAGAGCAAGGGCCACAGGCATGTTGCTGGGCAGAGCCTGGGACAGCAGGGTGGACATACGCTGGCCTGCACTGGGCAGCGAGGGTGCAGGTTTGAGGGCATGACCAGATGAGGAGGAGACTGTGGTGGTGGGTGTGGCCAAAAGGTGCGGCACAGTGGTGGACTGCTGGGTCGTAGGCGAGGCACTCAGGCTGGAGTTCTTGCTGCTGATGGCTGAGAAGTCCATCAGGTCATCGTTGCTTGACTCCTCTTGCTCATCCTTTGGTGCCAGGTAGGCGGAGGAGAGGCCCATAACACTGGAGGAGCGGATGTGACGGCGTTCGTGTTTACGCTTGTGGGAGGTCATCTGGCTAGTGGAGGTAAAGGTAAAGCCGCAGCCGGAGCGGATGCAGTGGAAGTGGTTGGTTGCTTTGCTGTACACGCAGCCTTCGTACTTGCACTCCTCATACTTATAGAACTTCTTGAAGCCATCTTTGGCGTAGGCATCATCCTTGATGTGGTAGCTCTTGTGCTTCTCAATGTCACACTTGTTCTTGAAAGTGAATGTGCAGCCTGGACGCCTGAAAAAAGTAATCGAAAATACAAGGAAAATTTGAAAGCCACGTCAGTACTTTGGTGCAGTTAGTCATGGAGTCATGGAGAGGGTCTACATGATTCAAATACTTTACAGTGGAGGAATGATAACTGAGCCTGTTCAGTAACACAGCAGCAGCTCATTGACTCGTCACCACCTGCAACCTTTGCCAGAGGGATACATTCTAGGTAGGGAATTTGATAAATCAACCAAATGATCTTCTTAATATATTCATTATATCTCTTTGGTGCAGGTTTTCAAAGTTTCAAACGTAAAAAGAAATCATATTTAGAAAAATACACCAAATTAGGCCCATTCACCTGCAGTGGAAGTGTGTAGTCTTCTGCCCGTAGAACTGACAACCGACTGTGCCGCAGTCCTCAGTGGCACGAAATCTCTGGAAGCCATCGTTGATCAGCTGGGCATTCTTTTTATGGAAGTTTTCATGAGTCATGACATCTGAGGTGCTGGTGTACACTTTGCTGCAGCCCACCTGCAGAGCAGAGGCAAAGCATAGCAATTGAAGATAAGATCTGGGCACACAGCAGACATGAGAGTTTCAGTTTGCAAGAATGGTTCCAAAAAAAACCCCAACGTAGAAAAAGCAGTAATTTAAAGAGATGTGATACATGATACAGCTTATAGAGCAAGTGCTCAGTGTGGTTAAAAATGGTTTTAAGAAGGTTGTTTTCTCACATTCACTACTTCATCTGTGTGAGTGCTCACCAGAGATGAAAGTGTTCCAAGACAAACCTGGAAACTGGAAACAATCTTTTGCATTGTGACAAATTGAAAGGAAAGTCAATAAACGAGGCAGTGGCCACAGCAGGCAGCTGAAACGATGGTTCCTTCCTGGCAAAGCTGCCTTATAGAAAATGAAATTCATATTTGGAGCCACCACAAACTTACTGTAACCCTGACAATAAATTTCAAAGATGGAGGGGGCAGAGGAAAGTTGACAGAGTACTATGACTGTTTTCGTCTTCAGTTAAATGTTCTGGTACTCAGAGCCAACAGAGGGGAAAAAAACTGGTAATGTTTGAATGAAAAGCAGCACTTGTATATCATGTCTTGAACCTTTCACTGGTACAAACCGGGCAACTTCTCCATATTGAGTCAAACAATGAAAAAAATGCCACTCTGTTTTTTTTTCCTACTAAATGAAGAGAGCTTGATGCCAACATCTGCAGATTCTCAGAGACTGTTAAAACAAGGGCTGAAATATTCTTATAACAATTACAACGTTAGAGAGGTTTAAAAAACAATATATCTTAAAACATCCTCGGCTGTGCTGCTGCCCTGCCTGTAAGAAAGCTCTCAGCGCAATGATGACATGTTGAAAATAAGCAGATGTAAAAAAAAATTAAACAAATCCTGAAGGGGAAATAATCTTTAACTGTTTGCTTGGTACTAAAAGATGAAAAATGTGCAGTCTATATAAACACCTAACTGGATTTTATCCATGCCAATTAAGGAGCGAGAGAGAGCGAAGAGGTGGGGAAAGCACAGGCAGCCTCACGTGTATTTACCCTTTTTTCAATATTCTTTTATTTACTTTATGAAATGTAAGGCCAAACTGTCCTTAAAGACACCCAGATGAGAATGAAACCAGTGTTACATTGTGACTCTATTTTAATAATGAAAGCTAGCTGTGAGCCTCTGGAAAAAAGTTCTGTGTGTGTTAGGACTGATCCAGAGTCCTGACATCGTTTCGACATCGACACCTTTTTTCACATACCGGAACCATTTTAAATATATAGCAACATAAACAATTATTTTAGGACTTCCTGAGTACAGAACAATTGCTGAAGGCTGTATTCAGGTTTTGTGTTATCAGGTTCACTTAAAACCATGTTTATTGTGTGTCTACCATGGATGCAAATTGAATGATGAATTATGCATTTATCCACAGTATGATATTTTATATTTTCTTATCATCAAAAGTGAGAAGTTGTTTATTTGTACTGTATATAAAGACTCGTACTTGTACACTTGTAGATATGTTTCTGTTTCCGTCTGTGTGTGGCTCCATGTCTACTGTACATGTTTGTGGGGTTTATTGTGGCTGTGTGGGTGGGGGAGGAGCTGTGAGTATTTGTGCTGTACCTGCATGCAGTGGTAATGGGTGCTTTTTCCATTGAGGTGGCAGCCATGGTAGTAGACACTGCAGTCATCCAGAGGGCTGAAGCGCATGAAGCCATGCTGCAGAGAGTTGTCCCTCTTCTTGTGCATGTTGTAGTGCCTGATAACATCTTGCTTACTGGTAAACCTCTGCAAAACAGGAGGGGGAAATGTATGGCAACAGGTTGGTGTTTATTTAAACCAGTCACAGAATCAGCAACAAGTCACTTTATCTCTGTAGAAGCAGCAGCTGCAACATACAGGAGCCAATTGGCAGTTGGGGAGGGCTGAAGACACTGCAATGGAGAGGATGACACGTTCTGCGGTTATTGATTTACTTTGCATATCTCAAAGTTATGTTCTATCCAAATGCAGCACCGAAGGCCTTGGGACTTTCTGAGCACAGGAGAAGCTTCTACATGCAACATGAAGTAGACTCCCTGTACACCAACTGTCTCCACATTATTTTTTCCCTTTCACCATAATGCATTTTTTTTTAATTAAGACAAATCAATTGACATGCAAGATCACAGTTCTGATGTTTCTGGCTCTGGAAAAATTATGTTCCATGCAGATGGTTTCTCAGACGTGCACAGTGGAAAACAGAAGACAACAGAAACAGACAAACAAACAAGCCAACCAAGAAATAAAAAAAAATAAAAAACGTTTTCCTTTCAATTCGCTGAGATATGATTCCATTTTTAATTAAAGCATTAGCACTCGCTTTTGGTTAATGCGTAGCCTGTAATGATGAGAAAATATGCCAAGAGACCCACCTTCATAAATTACAAAATAAATAAATGACACAAAAAAAAACCTTCCCACACCCAGGAGCCAGGAACAAAAAACAGAAAAGACACTCCACAGAGACCTGCAGCAACCAAATCTGCTGTAATTGGGCTTAAGCTGATGTTACAGAAGCTGTAACAGAAGAAGAGCGGATCAATGAGACAGTTCTGTCTTCAATCCATATTTATCTCCAGTTGAGGGAAAAACATCAGAAAGAACTATTCTAAAAAGCAACTAATTACTGTACAAAGTAGGGTAATTGCTTTGTGTCATGTGCTCCACTCGCACACAAGTAAAAAGATCTCACACAGCTGTTCTGTCTTTTGTTATTGGCCTGTTTCCCACTGCATATTTTTGAGATGTGTGACTCTTGTAGAACACAACACGTCTTTAGGATTTTTTTTAAATCTAATTGACGAATGCGTTCGGTTCATCACTTTTTGAATTATTTTCCAGAAATATCCAAAGCTTAGTTCTGGGTCTTTATGCTTTCTGGTATCTAGTGGATACTGATGACCGGAAGAGAAGTTGAACTGCGGTCATGGTACATTCGATCCATCAAGCCATCCAAAATAGGCTATGGAGAGAGCTGACTGGGAAAAAGATCTCATTTTCAGTTGAGTGGTGATGAAGGTTGGGAGCCACTTGCTACATTTATTTTAGGATTCCCACTAGTGTGGCAAGATGCACACTCTCCCTCATGTACAAGCCCATGAAAGGAGAATGTTAAGACTCAGCCAATCGCCCGGAGGCTGGCAGTGGGATAATATTCCAGGAGAGTGTGTCATGTAACATTTCATGAGTTATCGCTTGGAAAGGGGCTGCTCATCACTGCCTGCTTGTTTTTTTCAGGGTATTGACATCCCAGAGAGCTGGCCCCAAAGCATATCTGTGTTTCCGCGCAACGCAAAAAGCAACAGAGGAATGAAGACCTGACCGTGGAAATTGCGATGATAACCTGAACTAATACTCTAAATAATGACATGAAATGATTTTCCTTTGTATTCCTCCAAGACTGTGTCTCATCAGACTGTGAAGTGGGATGCATGAAGAAAATAAAAGCTTGGATCTGTAATGCTTTTCACCAGATAAACAATATTTATCGAGCGGTAATCTCTCTTGATCGGGAGCAGACAAAGGAGATTACAGCTGAAGATGGCTTAATTCAGAAAATTGTTGAGAAAGGAGGAAAAGCACACACAGCTCTGGCTGTGCATGGATTTTTGACATCTTTGACAAATCTACCCGTGTTTGTCTAACTCTCTCAGGCCATATGCTACAGCAAACACAAGGCCTGTGTTATGATCTGCTCTGTGTTTTTTCTCCTTCCTGTGCCACACATGACAACTCCTGGGACCAGGACAAGATTAATAACGTGAAAGGGGATTAAAGGCAGGCCCCCAGTCAGTGGCAGATGTCTATGTCTATGTCTGCACATAGATAAAAAAGAGCCATATTTCAAACATATTTACAATTAACCCATGTGATTAAAGGCCAACCATCAAAGACCAACTGTGCCTGGAAGACGCCTGCAAGCGCTGCTAATGTAAATACACACAGCCTTTTAGGGCAAACAAAGTTTTCATGGAAGTAGACTTTGGCTGGGTGTGCCTACCAATGAAAAGAAAATCATTTTAGCCAGTTTGTCTATCCTAAAAACACCTTATGCCCTCTTGTCATGTCCTGCAGTAAGAGAAAATACCTTTATTTTAAATCAGTTAACATTGTAAGTAATGTAGATTATACTGAATGTAAGAAATACAGTTGAACTTCAGCAATGATTACTTTTAAGTAATACTTGAAAAGGATGCCAAATCAAACACAATGACTTTTATCTTTTTTTCCTCATTCTGTCAGAATCTGAACTGTGAGGCACTTCGGTTGGACTAAAGTTTGCAGGGAACAGATAAAAATCTTAGATGTGTATTTTGGAGAAGCTCAAAAAATTGATAAAGTACTCACGCTCACCTGGTAGTTACACTCAGGGTCCATGCAGTGGTAATGCTCTCTGTACTGGTACGCACAGTGCACATGTCCACAGTGTTGACTCCCAGAGAACCTGAAAAACAAAGTTACAGGGGACACTTCAACATTTACACATTTGAGCTGGGAACACACGAGAGCTTATCGCACAAAGAACAGTCGCAGGGATGAAAAGGCTGAGCGATAAAGCCGCTTAGGAAGACAACGGTGTGACTCAAAAGTAATCAGCTGCAAATCAAGAATGATTAGTGAAGAAAATTATTTGAAATTTCAGGAACAGCAAAAATAAAAATGGTGAAGGAGCTTTCAAAGGCATTATGCTCGTATCTCCTTCAAAGTAACTCCTTCAAACTGGCTTCTGCTTTCCACACTGCTGCAACAATTTACCCGTCTGTCACACCAATTTCAGCCAAATTAGCTCCATTTATTTCCAAAGCAGCCGTAAGAGACACTTATTACAGTGAAACCCTTTCCCTTGACACGCATACACACACCCACTCAAGCATCAGGAACCCAATGACTACTTTGTTTCTAAATGCTGTGAAAACCCTTGTCAAATCAATGCACAGTTCTTTCAGGTTAACCACAGTTTTATATTCTCTGTTAGGAAAAGGGTCAGGTAGCATGAGATGTGAGGACAGCGCTGTCTGCTTTTCACCACAAACCTCTTCACTCTCAACTGGAATCAAAAAAAAAAAAAAAAAGAAAAAGAGAGATTTTAGTCTGGCTCTCAAAAAAAAAAAAAAAAAATCTTACAGCTTGCTACACAGTTCAGCCACTTTTATGGAGGCGATTATAAGTCTGACAATGATGACTGTTAAAATCCTCCAATTACCAGTGAAAACACACAAATAAACATTTGCACTGCTGCTGCCAAGAGCTCCATCTGCTTGTGCAGAGGAGAGGGGGAAAAGGGGGCTGAGTAATATTTTTTCCATCTCTCTTTCGTTTTTTCCTTGTTAGGATTATCCCAGAGCTGCATTTACAGATCACTTTGCTGAGTTCATTAAGCTAATTGAACGGCCTATCCACTACTCTTTTTAAGTTGGCTGTGTGAGTGTATGTGTGTGTGTCTAGAAAATGGTGTGGTGGTACAGGGTTTCTTTCGGAAGTTTTGATTGCTCTTTTAGGAAAATAGTCAAACCTTGAGTGTGCACACATTAAAGCCGACATATGTCCTAGCCATTGATGATTTCTATATCCTTCTTTCCCAAATATACACAAGCGTACACATTTATACTTAGGTACACATAAACACCCCCCTATTCCCTTGAGACTATGGCCCACCCCTCTGCTCATTGCCCGGCTGTATCACTTTGCCTCTGGACAATTCCCACTTGCCGCGTCAGGGGGCCTAATGGGCCGCTGCTATTCAGCAGCAGATTAAATATTAATATCGCCACGATACAGAGATTGCAGCGCATCTCCAGTTACAATGGAGATACACAGATCAAAGTGCAGAGGCAATAGTGAGTGCATGAAAGCATTTAAAGAGTGAAACTGCAGCTAAACACTATGAGGGAAGCTCTTTTAAATATCAAACTGTCCTATGGTGAGGAGATTAACTTTTTCCCTTTTTTCACAAAGATGGGTGCATACACGTTTACTACACTGGATTTTAGCATTAGTGTGCACTCATTAGCCCCAGCTCAAAAGAGGACCCTCCTCCGCTTCTAGCTCCCCTCTTAGTGCTACATTTGCCCTTTTTATGAGCCCTCCTTTTCCATTTTTTACACCCTCCTCTTCTATCCGTTCTCTCTTTTTTCCCAACCCTAACACGGAAATTGAAACTGTATCTGGGCTTATCTGCAGCCTCCCCGTGCATCAACTGCCGAGATGTTTAGACAAATTTTATGCATTATGCAGCGCAAATATCAAAACAGTTCTTGGCAGTGCCAGCAGAAGCCTCATTAAAAATTCCTTAATTAAATCTTCTTGCAAAATGTAATCAGTCCAAGGAAGGGGTTTTGTGTGTGTGTATGTGTGTGCAGAAGAGGACGTGTGTGTATGTGTGAGTGTCTGTCAGTGCCAAGGCTTTGATTTGTGCCCTTCATGTTATGGCTTGGAGAAGTAATCATTAACGCCAAAGCCACTTTGGCTTTTCAAATGCTGTTTTTCTCTCTTTTTAAATGGAATAAACAAACAAGTGATAATCACCTTTCTAGTGTCGGCTCAAAATGAATCCAGAATGGGGGACATTGTTCTGTGTCCATTGAAACACAAGATACCTCCCTTGCCTGATGTATTTTTCTCTGTTGGTGTGAACTTCTGACTTTTTAGATCACTCAGCTCCTCTTGTGTTCAACAATAAAAAGAAGAACTGAAGAGGACCCCGTCCTAAGCTCCTCTATCGTCTCTGTGTCAGTCACAGCTACAGATTTAGATAGAAATATTTTCTCTTCAATATTTAAGTGCTATACACACCAGGAGCTTTCTGTTCAAACAGTTACAGTAAGAAACCATCTAACCATTTCCCTTTCATTACATTTCATCCTTCTACTTAACATAAATTGAAGTTTTTTCTTAATCAATTTACTGCACATCGATAGAACACTCTCGCACCAGTCTAAGATCTACATCATGAATAAAACACACCATGGGTGTATGGGAAAATGCTCATCTCTGTTTTAGGTATATTTTTTCATCCATGCTGCTCATTGAGGGATTTGCATACCTGGCAATATATTTCTGGTAGAGGTTGATGTCGTCGCTGGGGGGTTTATCTGGTGGCAGGCCATTCCTAATGCAACAGCAAATACAAAAGAGACAGGATTAATGGTGAGGTTGGGCTGCCTGTTGTTAATAAAAACAAACTGACACAATATTTACTTACAAGCCGCTCCCAAACTTTGGACTATCAATATACATTTTCTTGCAGCATAACAGCGTTTTCATGTGCTCTATGAATCAGGGATGGAAGGCGCACACTTTGATGCATAGTCTCCCAATGAAAGGCAAAATGCAGGAGCAAAGGGACATTAATCTTTTATGGGGTATTTTGGTGAGTGCTCATATGCAAAACTGGATAATGGGGATGTGAAAGAAAAGCTCTGAAAAGGCCCTTTCTGAAAACCTCTAAGGACCTTGGCTCCTAATACTGATGTCAAGTTGTCTCCAATTAGTCTGGACTTATTACAATAAAAGATGTAAGAAAACACTACCGCTTCAAATGCATCTGGATCAAGCTAATCACTGTAGTACCAGTATCTACATACACAACCAGATTCAACTCAAAAAGGAAATCAAGGACATTTTATCATCTAACCGGGGGGCACTAAGGGACCCTGTGTGCTTTTTGTCACCTGTGATGTGATTCCTTTCATGAGGTTGGTAACTGTGCTTTCTGTAGAATGGCAGTATTGGTTCTGCTTCATCTTATTTCAAAAAAGGCCTTTAGCTCTATATGAGCAGCTCCACACAGGGGGGTGACCTGAGGTTAATCTGGCCCAGAGGGGAGGATACGTGGCCAGAGATTCTCCCTTGGACCAGCTCTCATTCCTGTATACAAGCATCAGACTGGGTCAGTTAGCCAAGCTTGTAGCTTCCCTGAGCCCAAACCTGACAAAGGGCAAAACCTGAGGGAGATGTGCCTGAGGATTCTTGAATAGTGTCTTTGATAGGTCTTGACTAACTAGAGACAAGGTCAAAACCAATCAAACACTCTCTGGGAGCTGTTTCCTACTGGTAGTGCACACGACTGTAGGCTAGTTCCCCAAACCCCTCGTTTGCTCCCTTTAAAGTGCACTCGTCAGGCAGTGTAGAGTCGGCCCCTGTGACTTGCCGGGAGGTTAGTCATGGCTCCAAAGTAATTAAAGGGAGAGTTGTTACACCCTAGCCAAACGAAAGAAGTCAGTCACTTTGCGATGACTGTGCTAAATCAGTCTCCACGGAGTGCTACAGCGAGTAAACACTTCATGTGCCTTCGCAACTCATCATGTCCTGGATCTATTGGGCGCTATGCGCTATTTCACACTACATTTCTGTTGGCTGCTGTAGAGGTAGCAATTACCTTTGCGTTAGGCTAACTGACTCACAGTAGCAGTTAAGTGTATGTGAGCCTCACATTAGCTCCAAGGTGTTCCACTGGAACTAGGGATCTTTTCTATGCACTCATAAACTTTAATTTGGAAATTTAATGACAAGTTGTGTAATTTATTAACTGATGCATAGGAGAAATGCATTATTTTGGGGCAAACTAATTTTACACTGTGTCACACAATAACATTAAGTGTCACTAAGCATTTTTCTATTTTTATTTATCAATAAGAAAGATTCTGTTATCTTTTGCCCCAAACTTGATTCTGTTTGTTAGTTAAATACCTCATCATCTACAACAGATCTAGTGGAAAGTTAGTCATGGCAAAGGAGTAGGTTGTCTGTTGTTGGTGCCTCACAATGTTCAGATTTACTGTGCTGGAGCACGGGTTTAGCACAGCGGTTAGAGTGTGCTCGCCATGGAATCCGACCTTGGCCTTTTGCTGTATGTCATCCCCCACTCACTATTCCCAAAGTTTTCGGTTTATCTTTAGCTGTCCTAACAATAAAAGGAATATGGTCCCAAAATAAGTAAAAATCTGCAGTTCTAAAATAAAGAAAATGAAATGTTTTCCTCATACCTACAGTTTTTGTAAAGGCCATGAACATTTGTTTTTTTTCACTACTTTAACCTGCTTTCAATAAAACAGATATCACCACTTCACTAAACAATTCAATACAATCTGTATCAAACTGTATGGCATTGACTCTATGGATGATAATTTCACATAAAGAGACCTGTCTAAACATGGCAATTTCCTTAAACTGAACAAAACTTAAACTATAGGATATTTGTATGACTATTTTACGGTTTCACATGCTGAACAGACTTACTTCACAGAGGACACAGTGCCAGTGGTGATGGAGTCAGTCTTGGAAAAGCTGGACTTCAGGTAGTCAGAGGCGTTGAAGCTTAAGTGTCCAGTCTGGTCCATTGTGAGCCCTGGGGCGATGCTGGCCCCAGCTGCACCTACAGTTGGAACTCCAGGAGCTCCTGGGTTTCCGGGTGCTGTTGCGAGGACATTGGGCATCAGTGAGGCCTCTGGTGTACCTGGCATCAGCTTCTGAATTGTTCTGATGTCATACTTCGAAGGACGGCCCACTTTGCCAGTTTTAAAGGCGATGGCACCGCCCATGTCAGGGTTGCCCTCACCAGGCTTGAAGAGGTGCAGGAATTTGACATTCTCCAAGTCGTACTTGGAGGGTCGTTTGTAAGCATTGCCGTTCTGCTGCTGTAGACTCTCACCCATCTTCAGCTTCTGAATAAAGAAGTCATACTTTGAGGCTCGGGACGCCAGGTTCTGAATGTGAGAGGGATTTGCTGGCTGAGAGGTGCCCAGCTGAGGTCCTCCTGGCTGTTTGTGGTCCAGGCTTGAAGGGTAGATCTGTGCCTCGGCCCCTGGGAGGCATCCAGGGGTCTGGAGCATAGTAGCACTCTTATCTTGAGCCAGTTTTGAGTTGAGGTCATCTGGTTTGGGTGGGGAAGCATGCATGGGCCAGGGTAGGGTCTCACCGGCTTTCAGCTTTCGTATGTACTCTTCGTACTTGGAGAAGCGGGCGCGTCGTGAGGCCTCCTCGCTGCTGAGGGATGAGGGGTCTGAGGTAGCGGCTTTGAGTTTCTCAAAGCTGATCTTCTTGGTCAGCTCATCCCTTACCTGCTGGTCATCATAACCGAACATTCCCAAAAATTCATTCATGGTGTTGGCTGCATAGTCTCGCAGGGCAGATGCTTCTCCTGTACAGAGAAAGAGAAAAGGGAGCTCCTTTAATTATTCAAATATCATTCTTGGCATTAAAGTCATCAGTTATAAAGGGTTAAGTAGGCCTGTGTTACAAGGGGAGAATACATTTTGTTGGCTTAATTGTTAAAACCTTTTCTCCCTCAAATTGATATTAAGAAAACATTGTGCAGAGTTGTGATAATTGAAGAAAGCTAAAATTCCATTTATATTTTTCTTGACAATGAGTGTTTATGATTGATGTGAGGCCATCATCTTCATTATTTCAGAACTCAAGTAAATTTATCAACAGGAAAAGTGATTCTGCACTGCAAGCTACGACAACATCTGTACATGTCTGTGCATTTTTGTGTCTACAAGCAGGCGGTCTGAAGCAGTGCTCTTCCTGTTTTGGTTGCAGTAGCAGTCAGTCCTGCAGACTTTGCAGGAGACTGTACCACACAAAATAACGTATTCTTCATAAAGGAACATGCATTAACTAAGTTCATATACCAAATACAGATATATTTAGATGTAGACTTCTGTTAAACAATGTAAAAATAAAAAAATTCTATCTTATCTTACTTTACCTATCTTGAAAATGTTGGTATGTTAAGAGCAATTATTAAAACCCCCAGAGAGCTTTGAGTGAGGTACTGTAAAATAAAATGATAATTGTCACCTTCAAGAGTGAAGAGAACAAATCCTTTCCTTCTTCCCTCTCTTTGCACATTTGTGAACTGAAACATCACTTTCATTTTAAGAGTCCATTAAATTGGACAACTTCCCCAAGGACATGGACGAAATATAGTCAATGTATAGTTTAATTGCATTATGTGGAGATTAATTCTGGCCCATTAACTTTCATCCAGGTTAGTGCAAGAGGTCAAAGAGTGGGGAAAAGGGAAAAATGATTTGGCCTGAAAGCATTGGAGGGGCAAAGTTCTGCACAGCGTAGAGGAGGACGAACAGAAAGGAGACGTTACAGGGTGTGTGAGAAAAACAAAAAAGAATAAAGAGGGAGGACCCAGAGGCAACCACTATGCCAACTGTTTTCGATTGTTGCTCCAACTCAATTCCAAAAAGAGCCGTAGTTGCGTCAGACTGAACGTTTGGCAGGATACCAGAACACAGATATGCAAGTTATGCACAAGATGATAATTTACCTGGGTAATGTAAAAGCTCTGTCCTTCTTAACTCCTGCTTGGCACAGTTAAAGGACCAGGGTCCAAAACCTATTTTTGATTTGTTTTATTGCATTTTTCATCACCAGTAAACAGATGAGCTCGTGAGAAGTAATACCACCAACCATTGGGGAAACTAAGCCATAAATATTTTTGCACCTGTCTCAAATGTCTCAGTTATTGCTAAATCAGTCACTGTGCCCTGCTCTTCACATCTCCTACGCAGTATGTAAAATAATCCCTAATTTTCCATTCACTGTGTTGGGGTTGCTCAGCTGCCCTGTGATCAGTATGAAAGAGGATCTAGAAGTTTGAAATGAAATGCAGGAACAATTTTAGAGAAAGGGATCAGGTATTTGGGAGGAAATATCTACATGTGAGCTACTGATCCTTTAATTAAAGCTACCCTCCAAAACATCGTCCAAAACCACAGATTCAGGTACTGTAATTACCAGTATTACAGTGTCATTCAATTTAATACTACATTTCTGTTTTTCCCTAACCTGCTCAATTTATTAGACAATAGGACACAAAATACCACTGAACATTTACATTTAAAATGTAATTTAGCTAAACATTCCTTTCATTTCATATAGGTGCTGATAACTTGAGTTGTTGCTGGGATTTTACAGCTACTGTATTTATGAGGCCATCTCAGGTCATGGTATATCATATAGCTCTAAAGTTAGGGCAGAGCCCCCCTACCCAGTGCCAGCTCAACCCCCACCCCCCATCACACACCCAAATAAATTTTTAAATAAGGAACTCCACTTAACTGTGAGAGGAGTGTTATTTGTAAAAAAAAAAAAAGGTTACACTAAATATTTGTTTGGACAAAAACTTTAAGATTCCTAAATTTAAAAACAAATCTAGATTTCCTTTTTTTTTTAGCATGACTCTGATATGCTAAACTCTGCTTGGATCAAAAGTTGTTTTTTTTTACATTTCTTTTGCTAAGGTGCTAACCATTACTATCAACATAATTGAGTCACGTCTTGATTTCTCAGTGGAGCCACGTGAGGTGCTATCAATGAAAGGCAAATGATTAAACTTGGAAGGATTATGAGATAACCTTTCTTAAACACCATATAAATGACTTTTTCACTGAAGTACCTGACTGCTTTCTTGACAAAGTCATGTGAAACCGGGTAGGAAACTATGAATTGGTTTTGGTGAGATTGGTCCAACTACTGATTCCACAATGCATGGCATTAAAGTATAAAACTAAATTAAATAAAAACAACCTCTTTTTTCTCTGTATTTGCATAATTTATTCCTCCTGTTTTTTAACACACCAGACGATTTCCTCTGCACCCTTCTTTAGTGACAGATGGAAGGGTCTCCTATACTGACACGGCAAGCAAATCTTAGTACACGATGCAGACCTGCCTTGTCTATATTTGAGGCAATTAGGCAACATTTACCCTCCCAGATATGATAACAGAAGGGTATTCTATCTCCTTTAGGCTGACCAAACATGGCCATCAGAGTGGCATAGCTTCTGTGCACACAGGACTGAGAGGCAGAGGTGTCGCTGATGATAAAGGTGCATTCTAGTGGCTATATATGGACTAATCTGGAGCTTAATACCCTCCATAGGGTGTCAGTTGTGAGCCAGACATACACAATTTAAATCATTCGTTTAAAACTGTTTTAATAACATGCAGGGTTTTAATTTAATTTCCTTTACAGGAAGTTTTGAATAGAGGGATTATTTTATATGGAACAATAATTTAAATAGAGTTTAAAAAAGCAATTTGTGTGAATGTCAGTGAATTAGTTTAAGAGTGTTTTGTTCGAATGGACAGTGGTATCCAGATAAAGAGTTACTTTGAATAAATGACATTATGTGAAATTGTTTGGACTAATTTGACATACACAAAACTGTACAGAGCTTCAAACCTCCTCTCTGTTTGCTTAGTTAATTAACAGGCAGTAAATAGAGAGGGCTTTGAAACTACTTGAAATGAACAATAACCTTTTACAGTGAACCCAGAATTTCAAATGGAAGTCATGGTCAAGCCTGTTTGATCCATCGCTATGAGCATCTCTGTCATTGCTTTCATAGTTTTTATTCATTGGTTATTCCATTGACTTGCTTATGAGGGCTCTAATGCGACATCTAAATTATCTAGGAAAAGTATTCTGGGGTTTTGCACTGATAGGAAATCCGCACGATGCCTCGATGTGAGGAGTTAAATGTTTTGAAGGTCGCAGTTTCTCTCATTGATCTTGCAATGTTTGTTAATTACATTGTCACTGATGTTGTGAGAGATAATTAAGCCACTATGTTTATATGCATAATTACGTGCACTCCGCATCAGCCTTTGAAAGACAGTGGTGAGAGAGAGAGATAGAGAGAGAGAGAGAGGGGGAAAAATGTTTTAATTGTGTGCTGAGCAGAAACATGGCAATATAGATGCCCTAGTTACAATCAACAAAGAGCAACTCTGTAAAAAAAAACAAAAAAAACACACACTCTTAAGACAAGATTTGCAACTGATGCAGTGTGCTCTCCCCGCAGTCTTCAAACACACGCTTTGTTGTGAGATGTAAAGTAGTGAGGGAGCCAGAGGAAGAAAAGGTGTAGGCCTGCTACACAACAGTAATACATATTTACAGACAGGCTTTTTCACGGCCGTGAAATAAACACAAAATGACTAATTAAAACCACAAAGACTTTTTTTTTCATTTGCGTCTGAAGTGAAACCTGCTTCATTTTCTGAGAAGCCCCTGCCCCCAATACTGTGTGGCCAGAGCTACTGCTGTGCATTTGGTAAAAACAAAAAGAAATGAAGACAAAAAGAGCATGTGTATATGACACTGAGGTAGATGCCTAAACCTAGATGAAAGACCAAAAAACTGTTAAACTGATGTGAGCAACCTCAAAACAAAACTTGTTTTTGTACCGCAACAACCGGTCTCAGCTGCAAATTGCTGTTTTTTTTTCTCGAGGTGTCTGGGAAAAGGTTTTTATCTATTCATATAACCGAGCTATGTTTTTTTTTTTGACAGCTCAGTGTTTTAACTTCTGCTATACAAAGGCCAATCTTCCCCACAGAGAGAATGCGTCTGGTTTCAAGGGTCACAAAGCATATAACTGTAAACGGTATTATTTAAAAAGATTGTTTATGCTGTTAACTCATACTTACGCCTTTAGAATGACTGTTGAAAGTCTGCCTGCTTTATCTGTTTGATAGTCAGTGAATTATACAGACAGAACATCATGTCATAATTTAATAGAGGTTATTATGAAACATTTACGATTTTTCTGTTTGTGAGGAGATAACGTACTTAAGTGTGATATTGTTCTGCAATATAACTTCCTTATTTCTGATTTTATCTGATCTCTTGGATTTAGCAGTTTTAAAAAAACAAAACTTCTTCATGGCAAACTACAACACCATGAAATAGAGGAGCTTGAAGCAGAGGCTAAGTTTAGTGAGCTTAGGGAAAATCAAAGACTCAATATGTAATCCTGGGTGTAATATGAAGCTTAGCCTGGTCCTGCCATGTGCTTTTGGCCCACAGCTGCTGGGAGGGTGCATAAGTGGCCTCGTGTTGTAAGCCTTCTCCATTTATGAATTTCTTTAAGAGTAAACCTCACACACTGTCAAGTTCCTGTTTTCCCCCCTGGCTTGCCAGTTGAATCTGTCTTCAGAGTAATAATGTCACCGGCTATTCTTAATGTAACTCTAGAGCATGTCTTTTCAATAATGGGCACACTTAAGCTAATGTGGATGTGGCAATGTCACCCACCCTCTGAGACTAAAACCTTAATACTATGGAGGGGAATGTTTTCAAGTCCAAAGGTAGCATTTTTTCAAGACAAATTAAAAAGGTTCAGGCAAGAGTACGAGTGTGGCATGGACACCTGATTTAAGGGGTAGAAAGTCTGAATATACCTGGAGAGGAGAAAGGTGCTTGGCGACTCTGGGCCTCGCTTGGCTGCATGTAGGTAACATCTTTCGAAGGCTTGTCTTCAGGTTCTTTGTCATTATGGAAACTGCTATCATGAGACCCTGCCGTGGGCTCGGCCTCCTCTTCGTCGTCACTGCAGCCTTTGGGATGTACCATGTAGACACCTTCAGGAGGGCTGTCTTCATCATTGCTGACTTTGAGTTCATGCTCCTGTTCATCCTCAGGAGCTGGTGGCTCATCGCCATACTCGCCGTTGACCCACTTCTCGATGGCCTCGCGTCTCTTCTGGTCCTCCTCTAGGCTCTGATTTAGGCTCAGGCTCTCGGGGAAGTTGGTCTCATTGTCATCGTAGAGGGAACTGCCACGCTCGCTGTTTTCTGCCACACTCTGGTCTCCCTCTGCATTCTGGGAGCTGCTGTCGAACACCACCTGGCGGCTCAGCTTGGCACAGATAGCATTGAGTTTTAGGCCACCTTTCCTTTTGGCGGCCATCTTGGATTTTCCTGAGGTCGTTTCAGTGCATAAACTCCTTTCAGCTGATGGAAACAAAAAATTGATGAAAGTTGTTTAGTGTCACAGATGTCTTTGTTATGTTTGATAAACATAAAACATCAGCAAATTACATTTTCTCAGTACGTTTTTTTTTTTGTTTCCCCCAAAACTTAGTTTGAACCAGCTATTACGTGTCAGTAACTTTCATCACAACGGAAAAACAGTATAGTGCAAAAGTGACTGATGCTATTTATAACACCCAAAGGCACTTAACAATAACAGCACAAGACTGGAAGGACACACATAGATACTGTACATATCTTTCTAAGTCACACCTCTTCGGTCAGCTCAGTTTAACACAGCCATGGAAAAAAAAGAGAAAAAAAAAAGTGCAGGCGACTGAAATCACAGACTGATACTTATCAGGCCCCCTACGGTACTACAAGCAACAAACACACGGCTACATAATCCTTCACATGACAACACTATAGAGACACCGTGAAATGTTATCTTCACTCTCACCTAAGGAGGCTGTGGTTCTGCCACTGAGTGGGGGGCTGCACAGCATTAAAGCTGTCAAGATGTGGACTGAAAATGCTTTGCACTTTTAGGCTTTTTGGAGCCGTGTTCTCATGTTGGCTATTCAGTGGGATTAGACTCAATAACAGGTTTGGTACTGGTAGCTGGTTTGACTTTATTAAGAGAAAAATAATATGCCATGTATACAAGCTCTTTCTTTATTGGCTGTCTTTTACTGTTGATCCAGCCAAGACAGCAGCATGAATATATCACACAAATGTTTTTGTAGTTACCTTGATTTACATATCTTTGCTTACGAATACTGCGCAGTCTCAACACCCCCCCCCCCCCCCCCCCCACCCCAGTGCGGCATCTCTGAACAATAGACCATGATAGAGTGTGTGCTTTGGGGCAGGAATGGGTGGCATTATTTTAACACAAGTGGGGCTATCTTTATAGCATGTCCTCTGATGAGGCAGGAACAGCTGCCTGTGGCATTCCATATCCAGAGCTGCCTTTTTAGGGCAGAAACTGCACTCTAGTACCTTTCACTTTATTTCCAGAGCCACCAAAGTTCACCTTTCAACTGCATTTTGTGGACTCAAAATCAAGGCCAGATCCTTATCAAGTTGTAAATAACTTTTAAAAAGCAAGGACGTAACTGCGACTAACACAGGTTTTTTTTTAAGCACAGTAAAAACACCAGAGAGCAGACAAATGTTGACAGTTTATTCTGTTTTTACTGAGCAGTGTGTCTTTGCCAGCTATAGGCTCAGTGGAAACAGTTAAATGGCATGCTACAGCGGATATAAGTCTTCTTGTTTGAAGTTGTACTGAATTCAATACGGTCACATACGGTGTGGTTAAGGGGGGGGGGTGTAGAGTTATCAGAGGTAACTGAGTTCTATCTTAAAGACTCGATTCAGTCTCTATAACAATGAGTACAAGCCTCCTCATTATTCCTCAGTCATAAAGCCCTGCACAATCATGTGTGAGCCATTGCAAGCATTATGTAAATCACATCAGTGCAACATAAAATCCTGTTTTCATTTTCTTTTGCAAAGCTGTGGGATCATTAGAGGATATACAATTTGAAGGAGTTCACAGATCAACCCGTCACTAGACAATGCACCCGAGCTCCCCACACATGCTTTCTCAGTTACTGTATTTACATTGCAGACTTCCTCTCTGAAACAATGACTTAAGGAATTATGTCGTTTTTAGTGGGCCGTATATCAGCGGGGCATTACTGTACAATTTAGTGTTAGACAATTGCAGGCGGAGGTGAAAGGGTCACCTTTAAGAGGACAGCAATTTTAAGAAGAGAAAAAAAGGAATCAGCTGGAAAAACTATTAGGAAGTGGAAGACATAAATTTTCTAGTTGTTTTCTTTCTTTCTTTCAGAAATACTCCACAAAGGAAGATTGAGGTCATTTGGGTGTTGCAGTGGAGGTAATTTTTCTGTTTACTGTGTTCAGTATTTCATGCTTTAACTACCAATTTCCTTTGCATTGAAATCTCAAGCTCCTTGTAGGAAATGACCTCTACAGTTGTGTCTTTCCATTAGTGAGTATTTATGTATGATATTCTGTTGACAATAAGGGGCATAAATAGAGGATCAAAGTCTGCCTATAACATAATTAACATCTTAACCTAAAATGTGTTTTACATTTCAAAGGTAGTATGTGCTTTAAAAAGCTTATAAAATAGTGTGAGCATGCCGCAAGGAGGAACATTCTATGGTTCAGCAGTTTATGGAAGCTGTCTAAACTATTATTTATGCTGAGGGTTTCTGTCCACAGCAGTTTTTTGCCATTGCTTACAATAGGGATTGCTATGGTAACAGTAAGCTGTTTACCTCAAGTCGTTTGTGTGCATGATAGCGTACAATGAGATAAAATCTGTTGGGACCTACATGAAAGAACAACTTTTCCCTCTGGGACTTACTCCCCCCACCTCCCTGAGAGTCCAGTTAGCATTCTGCCTTATTAATGAATTTCAGAAAGAAAAACAACACTGTCACACGCATTGGACATTATTTACAGTCTGTTTTAGCCTGGTGTGCTAATTGTCAAAGAAGAGACACCTCAGTAAGCACTGGGAGTTGGAAAAAAAAAATAGACAGGTTTGAATTTGAACACAACAGCTGAAACTAATTTTTCCAACTGCTTACGTTAGCTGTGACACTATTTTTACTGGAAACAGTGCAGGGCCACAAAGGAGCGCCATTTAGTGTCTGTATATGGCCAAAACCAAAGGAAAAAGTCAAGAAACTATTTTGAATACATTTTCACAAGGTCAGGTTCTTTTTCATCCTCAGTCAAAAATAAGAGCATCAAAGTTCTTTCTGTCCCTGTTTCTTCTCAGCCCTGGATAACACAGCTTGTGTTCAGGTCTAGCTCTCCCCTCTTACAAACCATCTCTTTCACAGCTCAAAGCCCCACAGGTCTTGTTGGTTTTTGATGCAGAGTCTCTGTTTGTGTGCCAGAATGATATCATGCCCAATCAAGTGGTGTTTCAAATCCTAATAACGCTGTTGGAAGTGCATTATTTGCGTGAACGTGCACAGACTGCAATCAAGGCAGCTTCGGGTAAAGAATGAAGAAGTTAATGATGGCTGTGAATTTACTTCTTCTTAACAAACAAGACCAGAATGCTTATGTCTAAAAACTGTTTTGTCATTATCTTACGAAATATACAAAGTGAAATTGAAAATTGAAAAACGTGGCTTTGTTGTATATTCAAGTTCAGAGTTCCACCATAAATACACCAACTCCCTGCAGTGTTTTTTCAGTTTGTGTGGAGCAAGCGTGGAAGAGGGTCCGTAAATAAGAGGTAGATATTACCTGTTTAAACTGAGGCTTACGTCTTCACCTAATCAAACACAGGTACCAGGCTTGTTGTAGATTCCTGCAGAGTTCCTACATGACTGACACAGGGACAAACCCCCCGCAATATCAGGAGTTAATTAATACAAACAGGGTCTGGGAGATGTCTGTTCAGCTCAGGATTATTTTACAATATGCAACAGAGAGTCCCTTTAGCTCTCAAAAAAAAGCCTGGTTATAACTTTATGAACCTCTGGCAGATTAATCGACAAGGCTGCAGCTCCCTGTGTGTAGCTCAGTGAACCTTTTGTGTCTCTAGCTCTCAAGGGAGGTGTATATGTGAGAGAGTGTGTGTGCATGTGTGTTCAGGGAAATCACTGAGCCACGCAGGCAAACATACACAGACACACTTGAAATTAACATGTTTTTATTTTTGTAAATTTACGGCTTGCAGGAAGAGAATGTTTTTCTATTCTCTCTTTTTCCTCTCTCTCCCCCTGCACGGTAGAGAGGCTGCAGCAGCCGCAAGGAAGTCAAGCGGAAAGCCACTGATGGACAACTACGGCACGACACCCAGACCCCAGCATCTGGCCCCTCTCTCATTTTTATTACACAAGAATAACAATAAGCAGGTCGTCGACCCCGCAGTGAGATTTTGCCATAGTTTTCCAACAGTAGGTGCTGCCGATGCCGAGAAATTTCCATTTTTCCGCATGCATATTTAATTGAGTTTTGTCCCAGTGGTGCGGAAATGATTTGTTTTTTGCTCTCTGTTCACTTGACTCCTCTTCGGAGTCGCTAACCCTGATTAAGACGTTCCCGTTAATTTCCCAGCGCACACCTTTTTTTTGTGCATTAATGGTTCTGATCGTCTAATTAAAACTTCTCAGCTCGGCTGCTGATCACCGCTCGTTGTGCCTCTGACCTGAAGTTTTAATTGCCGCATCAGAAGCGATAATAATAATTTTGAGGTTCTGATGATTAAAAACAATGCCATTGCCAACTAGTTGATAGATGGGGGTTTAGGGGTGTGCACAACTGTGGAGAAGTTTATGTAGAGAAGGGATTTAAAAAGTGGGCTTTATAGGCAAGTATGCACAGGTTGAGGGAGACGACTGTAAGTGATCACTGAGGGGAAGGGGGTGGCAGAGCATATGGAAGTCTCCCAACCCCCTTGTTCCTTAGAGTCCTACCACAGAAACAAGTTTTGCTGGGACTGGGACCAAGCTTTCCCCACCTCAAATCTAAATCTGCCACTAAGTGATCCACTTTTGGGCTTTACTCACTTGGCAGGTTTGCCAGGTCGGAAAAGAGAGAGAACAAGAAGTAGAGAGAGCATGAGAGAAGGCACGATAAAGGCACATAAAAGATGACGAAAGTCCACTGCCCTTATTTTCATAAAAAGATAATAGCACTGTAGGTGCAGTACAAAAGGCACATTGTTCATAATGTGACCGAATGGAAAAAGGAACCTACAGTGACTACAGTCTAAAAAATTATACTGATGAGATAATGACGCATAGACTACTATCAAAACAGGAGAGGTGAGTTTTCAAACAGTACTTTCACACTCTACTTTATAGATCCAGAAAGATAATGATAGGATATAATTCAGGCATAAAGACAGAGACTGTACAGCTTGGAAACTGCCAGCAGCACATATATGTCCAATTTTTCAGGAAGTAGCTTTCTTCCCT